CCCAGGCCCAGGGCCAGCCGCCATGGCCGGACCTGGCGCCGGGGCCAGAGCCCGAGCTGGGCCAGAGGTCTGACCAGAACCAGGGCTGGGGCTGGGACCGGGGCCAGGGCCAGCAGGGTGGCTTTTAAGACAATATTATTCTCACACAAAGAGACCTCAGCACGCCACAACCTTACAATTAGCACCATTTGAATTACAATGAAGAACCACAACACATAATTGGAATAGCCGTTCCTCATTTCTCCAAACCCCTGTGTCTCAAGCTTGCCAGGCAAAGGAACAGAATCATTTTTTGTAAGCATATTCATGAGGTACTGGCCAAGGTACTCAGGTAAAACCTTAACCCCACTCAAGCCCGCATCCATCACGGTCCAAAATATATGGCAATATAACATGGAGACAGGGCACGTCAGCATGACAAATACCAAGACAACATTAACAGAGGTCACAAAAGCATTTTGGAACAGGCCTGGCAAGAAGCACGGCTACAAGAGTCATTTTAGTATTAACTTCCAACTTGTCTTGTTGGGGAAGTAATAATAAAAATTTATTTCCAAACTCGTGCCCCACGTTGGGCACCAATTTATCGTGTCTCTGTTTAAGGGTCAGAGAGCAGAATTTTCTCTCCATTGTCCCCCACCCTTCCAGGGGGAGGATTAAAAAAAAAAAAAAAAGGAATAGAGAAAAAGATGCTTCACACAAGGTTGGAAGTTAAGACTGAAACAAGTTGAAGGGAAACAACAGGGGAAAGGAAAAGGGAATTAATAAGGGACAAAGGATATTTGACTATGTACAAAACCCCATCCCTGTAGTCCCAAGTGGAAGTGTCCGAGCAGTGCCTCATGACCGCTGTGACTCGTCACCAGGGACTGCAGTGGTGCCGGGGAGCGGATGGTGGTGGATGCTGCCGAGCACGTAGAGGTAGGCCCAGCTGCCCTGAGATGCGACAGGAAACCACCCAGGAAGCCAGGAAGAGCCCAGGAAACCTCGGCCTCCTCGTTTTTTTATGGACTGTGGCCGGAAAGGGGAGGGAACAGTACTGATCTCTGACTCCCCAGGGTCCTACAGACACCACCTGTCCTTCCCTTTCAGGCTGGTAACCCTTAAACCATAACAGCAACACAGTTGCAGCAATGGCTCTTAAACAGGAGAGGCATCCTTTGCTTTCTTGATCTATTTGTTTGGCAAAATATCCAAGTGGTTTTTTGACATGATCCAGCCCCTTGGACTAGGACTTTCAATGCAACATGCTGGTTTTCATTCTCAAAAAGTTCAAAAGGTTTTTCCAAGTTAGGAAGTCCTAGCGCAGGTGCTGACATCAGGGCTCGTTTCAACTGATGAGAAGCTGTTTGACACTCTGGTGTCTATTCGAGAAGTTCCCTGTTCCTTTCACAGCCTCATAAGGAGTTTCGCACTCAGTCCAAAATTAGTGATCTCAAGGCGACACCATCCGGCCACTCCCAGGAATGCTCTCAGCTCTTTGGGTACAGGTTCTGGAGTCTGGCAAATCACCTCTTTTCTTGCGGGACCAAGGCTTTGTTGGTCTTGGGTGATGGTGAACTCCAAATAAGTCACGGTCTATTGCGCAATCTGTGCCTTCTTCTTTGACACTCGATATCCTGCTGCTCCTAGAAAGTTGAAGAGGCCAACAGTATATCCTCTAGCGGTCATGTTCCCAAAACTGTATCATCCACATACTGCAATAGGTTATCTCTGTATTTTCCTTTTGCCAGTTCTGAAATTCATTGGCCAGTTGGTTTTCAAAGATTGTCGGGTTATTCTTATACACTCTCCAAGCTACCTCTAACAACTTATCGATAGACCTGGCATGTGCTGCTTCTATCTTCTGCAGCTTTTTTCTCATGTCAGGGTTTGACTGTCCCACAGACAAGGTCACAAATGTCAATGCATCAGTTTCTTTTTCTGGGTTCAAATCTGTCCATTTCCTAGCTACCTCGCATAATCGTTCAAAGAAGGCTGACAAAGCCTCATCCTTCTCCTGTACCACCTGATATGATTTGGAGAAATTCTGTTTTAGAATCACATTCCTTACCCCAAACAATATCAATCTTTGATATTCAGTTAACAGTAATCTTCGTTCTTGATTGTTAGGATCCCAATTCAGATTGGTGGTGGGTAAATGATCCTCGAGCCTTCCTGCCTGCACATCGTGAGTGTGAACCCTTTCCGCTTCTTCCTTAGCCTTAACCATAATAGTTCTTCTCTTCTCATATGTCAACAGTGTACTCAGCACCACCTGAATAGCCTTCCAGTCAGGATCATAGCTCCCTATAATAGTTTCCAATACGCTCACCACCTTTTCTGGATCCTCCCTATATGTTCCAGCCATCTCTTTCCAAGCTCTTAAATCTGCTACCAAGAAAGGAACTCTAACGCACACTGGGTCCCCTGTCAGTCCCACAGCCTGCCATAAGGGTGCCTGCACTACTCCCACCCTTCTCTGAGTCCTTCCAGCTGTTGGACTAAAGTCTTCTCCCTCGAGTCTCTCACATTCAACACCACTTTTACTGTGAGTGCTTCCTCCAGCCTCCCTATTTACCCCTCGATTATTCTCCCCTTATACACCTTCCAGTATTGGAACCACCAGTAATCGTACATCATCTTCCTCTTCCAAAGGCTTTTTGTATTTTTTACATCTTTTACCAGTACTACATGCAGAACAACAGTGTTTAGGCAGTTTGTCCTGAAGTTGTTCCAGACCCAAAACATTCGCATCTTTTGTTATCAGTCCACATTCTCTTCTGCTTTTATAATCATTTCACAATGTGAAAAACAAATTCACATATGGTACTCCATCCCATTTTCCTTTCCTTCTACAAAACAACATTAATTGCAATATAATACTATAATTCAAAGTTCCATTCTTTGACCATTTTCCTTAGTCATCTAATACATACACTGGCCACAATTGATTAGAATATTCAACTTTTTCCATGTTAACAGATCATCTCCAAACTTATTCTAGTGTTTCAAGATGCAACCCAGCGGGGAAGCCTTAGGTATGCCCCCTTCCACAGAGGAAGTTGTGTTTCCCATTTGCAAATATTTCCCAATATATCATAGCACAACAATGTTCTTAAAATAGCCAAAAATATCACAAATGCAAATATCCCAAACAAAAACCTAACTCTGCCTGCTCTGGTCATTACCATACTAATGCACGAGAGATACCACAAGTAGCAGGTCCAATTAATCCACCAAATATCTACCAATTTGTACCTTAAACGGATACGATTTACTCAGGGAGTACCCAAATAACAATGCCTCTATCCTGGTTTCAGTCGGTCACTTACCACCCACCAGAGAATCGCAAGAGGAGTCCCTGGAAAAATCCCCCGATGCGTGCTGGGGTCCAACTCATGATTCCTCTGGTGGTAGCAAGTGTCAATTGAAGTCAGGTCTCAAACTTAAGGTCCCATCTGGGTCGCCAAAACTGTTACCTGAAATTGAAAATAACTCTTGAAACCCAAAGTGTGTTTAGAGAGGAGATGTTGTTTTACTCTGGCAGGGTGCAAGGTGGAGGTTTTCCACAAATCAGCACACCTAATGGGATTCCTTACCAGTTATTTATACACAAAAGTTGCAAAGTCCTGCCTAACGAATACAATTATTCCACCTATCTAATGCATATTAATTGTGCTGAGCAAATAAAACCTTCTGTATTTGCGTGATTCAATGTGCTGAGCAAGCAAAGTCTTCTATGCCTGAGCAGGGGTCTCTGGTGGTCATTTGGGGAGGAATACCCCTGTTTTGTCCTTTTATGGTCTTATGTCATCTAAGGACACCAGAGACCTTGTCTGTCTTGCCAACTTCTCATATTCACTATAACAAGAGAATCTATGTCCTTGGTAAAGCAAATCTGCAACCATGAGGTGTTTCTTATCTGGAACACCAGCTGCTAATAATTCCTGCGTTAGTATCCATCCTTACTTTTTACTGTTAGTTTACCCTCTTCTAGTTTACCCAGTCACTTCTTTTCAACAACTTCTTCATCTCTAAGGTAACATCATCATCAGACTACAGTAACACTTATCTACAGAGTTCTAACCACTGGTCCAGTTTCTTGTGCTGTGTACAGGGTGAGCTGAGCTCCTGGCTTGAGGAAGAATAGGATCTTTATTTTAAGAATAATTTCCTCCCGTATTTCAGATAGATTTCAAATGCACAGTCAAAGCAGCAGTGTAGCACACAGGGGATCTGGAATTAGCAGCTTTACTTACAAGATAATGTCCAAAATGAAAAGTGCAGATGAGTCTGTAATTGCTGCAGCAGTTGTCCATGCCCAGTGTACAGGTGCCTTACTCTGTCTGTGGTGTTAACGTCTGAATACGTGGAAGGATTACTGCAGAAGATGATGAACCTGATAATTCAGCCTGCTGTATAGTGAATATTAGGTTGAGAGAAGTATTTTCTGTGCTGCAAGGGTAAAATATTTTTGGTAAATCAGCATTAAGACATTAGCATTCATTCATGCACCTGGGAAAGGAATACTAAAAAGCCTCTACTATTGTCTACAGTCATTCACTTTCAAAACACCTCAATTTTCTTCTGAATCGTTACTACTACTTCCTGTTGTCCTGCTACCTTGATGATGCACTGAAATAGTTAACAAGGGATAGTAGAAGGAAACCATATGTATATGGTCAAGAATTCTAGCACATAAATTTAGGACAGCAAAAGACTTGGTCCTTGGAGCTGTAACTAAAGGGCTTCTAATCAGTCTCTCTGCATGCCTTGCTAATGACTATGGCCTTGAAGAGAAGCTAAAAAACTGATAAAAGGCAAACACCCTGCGCAAAGAGGCTCCAAAGGCTGGACGGTTGCCTAACAAGGATGAAGTCAGCAAAAGTTATGATAACTGGGGGAAAGGTAAATGTGGCAAGGGGAGATCACGACCACCAGCTCAATTCAAGGCTGAAAAGGCTTGTTCCCCCACACCTGTAAGGAGCATGCCTGCTAGTTTACATGGAAAGCAAGGCTAATTTAAATATGACTAAGCTGTAACAGAAAATGTGGTAATCACTAATCGATTAATGTAGTTTTAGGCAGAGTTTTGCTAATCATGTAACAAGATACATATGTTGTAAATTCTGTGTGTGGAGTGCTTGATTTGTGGAAAACGACCAAGAGCCAACTCTTGTGCAACTCTGAAATAAACCAAATGTCTCAACGTGGCATGTGAGACTGGCTAACCGCATGTCGGGTGGCAAATCCAACTTTTTGGACAACAGTCCTATTAAAACTCCCTATATCTTTCCTTTAGAAATTCTAAAATCCAGTCTCCTGTGTTAAGGTTGTCCACTCCATCCAGGCATCCAGTATTATCCTCGCAGTTCAAGCCCTAGCTTTCCTGTCGCAGAACAGAGTCTTAGGCATCTTATATGCATAAAATTAATTTACTCAAATAGCACAGCTGGGAAAAATGAACTTGAGCTGGATGCCTCCAGAGAAGGACCCAGAACAAATAAATCCCCGGGTAATTTCACTCTTACAATCTATCCACCCACTCTTCACGTGCTGTTCACCCATCTTGCATGCGCCTCTTGGTCCGATGGCAGTTTCTGGTCTGGGGTCTTCTAACATCTCATTGGATTCTTTCCCTGTCTCCAGGCAGTCCATAAACTGTTCTTGTTTTTCTCTGAGTTGCAGCCTCTGTTGTCAGCTGCAGCCTCCTTATCTCCTGCTTTGTTCTTCTTGGGCACCTGCTCATTAGCCATAACTGGAAAAGTCCCAGACTTGGGAAAAACACCATTTAGCAAAAACATCAGCATTTTTATCAAAATTTTTTCTCATACTAAATCCAAAACACAGCTCTATACCAGCTACCAAGACGAAAATTAACTCTATCCCAGTCATAAACATATCAAAGTGAATGTTCACAGCTTGTGGCCTAAGGCTACTCATGCTAAGCAAATAATGCTAAGCAAACAGCATTACCCTCCAGGGTAAGTTGATATTGCTTGCCTTGTGGTGTTATAATTAATTATATAGTTGTATCTGAGCCGGTATCTGAAAATCAGGCATATGAATCTTCATCCTGGTCCATTCTCTCTAAGTGTTTCTATGCTGAACACAAAATCAGATTAATAGATTTTGCCCTTTAATCAAAACTCGCTGTGCTAGCTGAAAATGTGTCTCCTTGTATGATCATGGCCTTTCACAAGAAAATACTCCCAAAATTATAAAGCTGCTTTTCAATAAGTTGAGGCTTTAAGGGGGCATGAAATAAACTTTTTTTCATGACAGTGGAGTCTAAATGCCTGCTGCTAAAAGATCAACAGGACCAGAAATTTCAAAATAAATAAAAAATTCCTCTGTCTTGTCACACATACTTTCATTTGTGCATAGATACACTAACACAGATCTTCAGACAAACCAAAATGATAGGGATGACAGAGAGACAATTGCATCCATTTATATATAACCAGGACCGAGGAGATGTTAGATAGTGTGGTATAATCTAGTATCTCACTCAATTTTGCTTTCTTCTTTACTACTCTTGGGAGCTGGAGCTGAAGTAGCCAGAACTGGCGTATTTCCTGTGAGGAAGACACAAAAGCAAAGTAATCCTCATCTAGCCGTGATTTATGCTCAGCCAGGTTTCTAATCCCACACCAAACTTGTTTTCTAAAGTGAACAGCAAGCAAGAAATGCCAGGGCACCTGAGCTATTGCAGTACACTCTTCAAAGTCATGGTTATGAATCGAACAGGAGTTCAGTTCACTACAGAATTCTGTATTTTGTGGCAAAATCATTACAATTAAAAGTGAATGAGAAGAAAAATAGGGTTTTTTTTAAACTGGCTTTAATCATAAGTCAACTTAAAATGAAGTGTTAGTATTCCATTCCTCAAGCTTTCATACTCTACAGCTTTGTGTGTGTTCTCATATGTTGGCAAATACTGATAAAAGGAGTTAAATCCATGCATAAATTGGAGCCCAAAAAGCTGATTGATGAGTCATTTAATTTCACGTTTTTTACTTCCACTGTAATAGGCTTAGCAAAATTTGCTAAAATTTCATTAATGTAACTTTTGTTAACAAAATTTAAATTTAATTTTTAAAAACTAAATTAAACTATTTTAACATGGAGAAGCTGATATTCTACCCTAAGCATTAGGTCTCCTCAAACTACATTAAAAATCATAGCATCTTATATTCCTCTTTGGGTCCTCTTATACCCCAGTTCACAGCTTATAAGATATTTCATATATAGTTATATTTAATCCTGTTTGCACTTTGAATTTCCAGTGTAAGCCATATTTTAGGTATCTCTAAAGTCATGCTCCCAAGTTTTTTACACAGACAGCAATGAGCCGTAGGGTAAGTGCACTTAATCTGGTGGTGGATATTTGTAATACTGGGCAGATTGCTTTATGGTGCTCTTATTAGAAGGAAATATTCGTGGGGAGTGCCGTTGTCACAATACACATTTTTACTTGTTTGGTAAAGATGGATAGGCACTCATTAATGACCGAACAAAGTTAATCCCACTGCACTGAGCAGTTATTTCTGTCTTCCTCAGCACTACCAAAATTTACTTCCACTTGCTTTTCTTTCGATACTACACAGAAAGATCTAACAGTATAGTCTGGTACATGTCCAAAACTAGTATATATTATATCAACTTTTCAAAAGGTTAAACTACCTTTTGCAAAAGGTTCAAGTATCTCACACCAAGTCACACAGTTAGATTCTTATGTTAGAGTCAGAGTTTCTTGGAAGCCCCTGACATGGAGTTAACAGCCCAGCTCCTCTAACAGGGAAAGCTCGGCACTCATCTGCCAAAGAAACAGAGTATTTACCATGGATTTTTGCCATTCATTTTGGCAAAAAGGAATCGCAGAACACGTTCTTTTTGTTCCCATGTCAGCTCGCCGATATCCACTTTTTCAAACTGGATTTTTTCCCTGAAAAACACAGAAAAGGTCAATGTGTTAGAAGAAAATTTCAAAGGCATGTCTCTCACAGATCCTGTCTGTGTAAAACAGGTTTTCAGTTCTAGCTCTGCGTTCCTCTTGTTCAGCTACTCATAGCATGTAAATTTAGAAAAATAATCCGAGCACACAGTGCTGTCTTTTCAACTTCTACATCTAGGGCTCTCTAAGCTAAGCAGAAAACAACCCCAATTATTTCTGTTACACGTGTAGATGTTGTAAATACCAGGAGGGTGAGGGTTAGTACTGTGTATTACTTTCAAGTACATTGTCCTTCCCTTGCTTCTTCTGTTCATGCATAAAAGGGTTAATACGTATAACCAATTTTCAATCTCAGTTCCAGTCTCCCCCTTCTCTTGCTCCAAGGAGAAGTCTTCTTAGATACCAATAACTACTTTCACCTCTGAGTTTTAATGTGGTACTTCTGCGGTATCACTTTAGAGGTAAGATAACCTGAACTAACAAGGCATTCCAACTGACTGTGCATCGCCAAGTTATTCAATGGCCAATGCATATTAAGGAAACATTTTATTTGGGAATAGAATACTTTTGATCTCTCACTAAGGATGTATACAAGCTTCAGTTATGGGGGACCTTAACTCTATGGCTTAAAATCCAAGTGTCTGGACACTGCTGTGGTTTGTAAGTACAGATTTCTAGCAGGAGGCTGAAGACCTGTAATCCTGGCCATTGCAGCATGTGTAGCCTCAGTTTGAACTAAGCTGCCTCCTAACACAAATCCTGAGATAGTCACACTTATAAATCTGAGATTTTGTTTTATTCACTATAGAATGTAATCCTGTCAACCAGTACTGTACTGTATGTGATCTTGTTTTTTGATATGTCACTGTCTATTTCATGTAATGGCTTAATTTTTAGATTATTATGAAGTCTGAGGAAAACAGCCTTTGACAGTACAATGAAAAGCATGGGCTTTTCATATGGAAGAACAGTTGAAAAAACACTGGATTTGCCATCTATTGGATGTTTCTGTTAAAAGGATCAGCCACACGGTAAAGAGCAGTTAGCATCTTAATTGTAATTTTTGGGCTTCAGTGTTGTTAGCTCACTGGAGTGAGTAAAAAGCAAAAGAGCAATGCCAGAAAAGTAATGCCTATAAAGCCAAAAAGTTTAAGGAAGCAACAATAATGATTAAAAGGAAACTGCAGAAGCACATCTATACTGGAAGTTCTATATCAAATTCCACAGCACATGGCAGAATATGCAAAGAACTCTTTTGATCTTATCCTTAATTTAACCTGTAGAAATAATGACCAAAAAGCGATAGCCTAGTTGAAATTAGGTGCCCACAAAGTCATTACTAATTGATAGGGTATTACACCTCACACAGTTATTGTCACTACAGAAGCCTCTACAACCATTCCAAATCTAGACAATGTTAGCATGCAAAGGGTTTTTTTCAGGTGTGCTAGAAAGATAGACACTGGTTCTTGATGTTTCAGTACCAGTAGCATTTCTCTGCTTCCTCTAGGTCTCTGTATACACTATTTGTGCTATTTATGTTGCTTTTGAATGTTTTGATTTTGGGAAATTCTTCCTTTCCTGCACATGCCTCCATCATTTTTCTGTAATAGGCAGTTGGGGCCTTTTTCTTATAGTGCTTCCTGCTGGATATGATCTCCTGCTTCACATATTCCAGAGCATCTAGGAAGAACTTTTCCATCTCAGTCCTCTCATTCAAGATATTCCGGGCTAGTTTCTTCACTCAGTTCATCTCCCGATCCTTCATTTCTAGTAGTTGCTGCAGTTTCTTGATCTCCACCATGCTTGCCTGGTTTTTTATCAGTGCCTGGTGCTGTGTTTTCTGAGACTCTCTCACAGATTCTCTGCTCATGTGACGTAAGGCCATCTCCAGCTTTTTTTACTTTATGCTGCATATTTCCAATCTGTGCTTTCTGTTGACTGATCTGTAGGGTCATTTTTCGAAACAAATCCTCATTGGTTTCCTAAAAGATGAGAAGAAGTCTCAGTAAATTTACATCTGTATCCAGACGTACCAATTCCTGGAGGAGAATTAAACAGAATTAAAACCAGAGCAGAAACCTCATCCTGTAACAGCAGAGTGTCCTCTTCTAAGTTCTGTTTGATTTTCTGCAATTCCATTGTGTCTTTCAGCTGGTTAACAAACGCACTGTGAAGATAAGCATTCTCATTAAACACCTCTCTCCTCGTGCTGTTCAGCTTCCTGGACAGAGGGAACAAAATCCAAGAGCTTTAATCACAACCTTTCTTGCTTTTTTTTAATATTAAAATTGACATTTCAGTGTCCTAATTTCAGAGCTAAGCTGTAAAATTCTTACAGGTCTGTACCAAATTTTCATGGCTTTGCTTCTAGTCCTACATCTGGACTGAGAGAATGAAGAAAACTGCCGTACCACTGTGATAATATTACCTCCAGTTCTCCTCTGGAACCAGCATGAGCCATACAGTTTAAATGTAAGTGCTGACATCATCTTGACATTTGATATATAAAACCAGCCTAGGTTATCACTGAGTTTTGACCTTCAAAGCCCATGTAGCAACATGGGCAACATGATATAGAATACAGTGCCAAAATGGTTCCGTAAAGCAGAAAACAGGAAAAGCAAATGTTTCTTACAAAACAGCTTCATGCTGGGTGGTGGCTGCCATCATTGGTTGCTTTTTCTCAACATCTTCTTCCAGTCTGTTCTGAAAGGGAGAAAAGCCTGTTTAAATTTTGCACGAGACCTGTGGCAAAATTTGAAGGTAAAATCTGAAACAGTGTAAATTCTAAAATCACACCCATGGTTTTCAGCTCACCCAACTTCTTCCTAGAGAAAGAATGAACCCCTCAGGACACAAAAGTTCCTGATGGAAGTGGAGAATATGGCCAGGGAGGAGTGCAGGGAGGGTATTTTAAGATTCGGTTTTATTTCTCATTATCCTACTCTGATTTGATTGGTAATAAATTAATTTCTCTGAGTCAAGCCTATTTTGCTAGTGACAGTAATTGGTGAGTGATTTCTCCCTGTTCTTATCTCGATCCATGAGCTTTTCATCACATTTTTTCTTCTCCTGTCCAGCTGAGGAAGGGGACTGATAGAGCAGCTTTAGTGGGCACCTGGAGTCCAGCCAAGGTCAACC